ATATATATCAATTTTAGCATATGGGTATACCCCATCTATTTTATAGATTTAATTAGTATTTCGCTTCCGCATCAATTTATGATATTTAGTATGCTTATGATTATGCAGCAGGGTAAGCTTGGGATCACTTGTGGTCCTAGGTTCCGTGTCCGCGTCTCAGCGGTAGCTCGGGGTGTGACAAAACTTGGTATCAAAGCACTAGGTTCAAGAGTCCTAGGATGTATAAAAAAGCCGCACTAAGTAGAGTCTTTTTCATGGGTGTGAAGTGCACCACATCTAATGAGAGGGAGGCTATGAAGTGTTTTAGGAAAAAAACTTCACTTTCTTGATATTCTTATCATGCGTGAGGTATGATCTTATTCCATTCTAAGTTGACGTTCTATGTTTCAGATCATGCCTCCTCGTAGAGCTAATGCTAGGAATGCCAACGCCAAGATTGCAAATGCAGCTCCTCTAGTCCCAGATCAGGAAGTCTCTAATGGTGAGTTTTTAAATGCCATACAGATGTTGTCTCAGAGTATGACTAACCAGGACAATCGGGTTCATGCTCATGTGAATGCAAATGGTAGATCAGTGGCAGCAAGTGTCCGTGACTTTGTTAGGATGAATCCTTCTGAGTTCTTAGGATTGCCAGCTAATGAGGATCCTTAGAATTTCGTGGATGAGATAAAGAATATCTTTGAGGTAATGCAAGTCAATGAGAATGACCGGGTCGAGTTAGCATCATACTAGTTGAAGGATGTTGCTCATATCTGGTCCACTTAGTGGAAGGAGAATAGGGGTGCAAATGAAGCTCTTATCACTTGGGATTGCTTTAGTGAGATTTTTCTTGACAGGTTTTTCCCAATAGAGTTGAGAGAGACAAAGACTCAGGAATTCATGAGCTTAAGGCGGGGTAACATGACAGTCCAAGAGTATGGACTCAAGTTTAACCAACTCTCCAGGCATGCTCCTCACATGGTTGCAAACTCCACGGCTCATATTAATAAGTTTTTGTATGGAGCATCAGATTTGGGGAAAACTGAGTTCAGAAATTTGATGTTACTTGGAGATATGAACATCTCTAGGCTTATGAAACATGCTCAGCATGTTGAGGGTGATAATCTTAGGGAACAGGATAAGGAAAATAAGAAGGCTAGAACTGGGAACCAAGACTATTCTCAGGTTGTTGAAATCGTTCGCAGGGTCAGCAGAAGTTTTCGACTCCAGCCCCTTCATCAGCTAGTGTTCCATCCTCCAAGAACAGGTATGACCACAAGGGTAGAGCACCAGGCTCTAAATCTTAGGGAAGTGTTTCAGGCACCAAGACTTACCACACTTTCCTTAAGTGTGGTAAGAAACATCCGAGCGAGTATCTTGTAGGAAAAGAGGGATGTTTTGGGTGCATTCAGTCTGGTCACAGGTTTAGGGATTATCCTTCTAGACAAGGTCAAAGAGGTGGAAATGGTAGAGCTCAGTCTACAACATTAGCAGCACCAGCAAGTCGCCCAACTCAGCAAGGTAACTTATCTGGTACAGGTGGCGGTTAGCGCCAGAACAGGTTGTACGCTCTTCAGGCTCGTCAAGATCAGAAAGGTTCTCCTGATGTAGTCATTGATATGTTACGTGTCTTTGACCTTGATGTTTATGCATTATTAGATACAGGGGATACTCTTTCTTTTGTATCTCCTTAAAAACAATCCAATTCAATGTCAGTCCAGAAACTCTCTCAGAATCGTTCTCAGTCTGTACTCCAGTCGGTAACCCAGTAATAGCTAGACGGGTATACAGAAATTTCCCTCTCACAGTCTCTCAGAAAGTCACCTGAGAAGATCGAGTAGAGTAAGAAATGGTAGACTTCGATGTCATTCTAGGCATGGATTGGTTACACTCATGTTATGCCCCATTCGATTGTAAAACTAGGATTGTTCGTTTTCAGTTTCCAGACAAACCAATCTTAGAATGGAAGGATAGTAGCTTAGCGCCTATGGGTCAATTTATTTATTACCTTAAGGCCAGAAAGATGATCTCTAAGGGTTATATCTACCATCTAGTTCTGTTTAAGGATTATAGACTTGAAACCCCAACTCTTGAGTCAGTTCCAGTAGTCTGTGAATTTCCAGAAGATCCTTCCGGAGTCCCTCCCGAAAAGGAAATCAACTTTGGAATCGATCTACTTCTAGATACCCAGACTATTTCTATTCCTCCTTACAGAATGGCTCAAACATAGCTTAAGGAATTGAAAAAGAAGTTTAAAGACCTTCTAGATAATGGCTTCATCAGAACTAGTATTTCACCATGCGGTGCACCAGTGTTGTTCGTAAGGAAGAAAGATGGTCCTCTCAGAATATGCATTGACTATAAACAGTTGAACAAGGTCACAATCAACAATAAGTATCCATCTCCAGGATTAATGATTTGTTTGACCAACTTCAGGGTACTAGCCATTTCTCAAAGATAGACCTCAGATCAGGTTATCATCAGCTCATAGTCAGAGATAGTGACATTCAAAAAACATCCTTTAGAACTCGGTATGGTCATTATGAATTTATATTTATGTTATTTGGACTAACTAATGCTCCTGCAACTTTCATGGATTTGATGAACAGAGTTTTCAAATATTACTTGGACTTGTTCGTTATCGTCTTTATTGATGATATCCTCATTTACTCTAGGAGTGAGGAAGAATATGCAAGTCATTTAAGATTTGTTCTATATACTCTCAAGGATCGCCAGTTATTCGCTAAGTTTAGTAAATATGAGTTCTGGTTGCAATCCGTTGCTTTTCTTGGTCAAATTATATTTAGGGATGGGATCTGAGTGGATTCGCAGAATATAGAAGCAGTGAAACAGTGGCCCAGAACTACCTCTACTACAGATATTAGAAGTTTCTTAGGTCTATCAGGTTATTACAAAAGGTTTATGAAAGCATTTTCATCCATAGACTCACCATTAACTAGGTTGACTCAGAGGATGGTCAAGTTCCAATAGTTAGATGATTGTGAGAAAAGCTTTGCAGAATTGAAAACTAGATTGACTACAACTCCTGTCTTGACTCTACCAGAGGGTTCAGATGGTTATGTGATCTATTGTGATACATCCAGAGTTGACCAAGGTTGTGTGTTGATGCAGCGAGGTAAAGTGATAGCTTATGATTGTAGACAACTTAAGGTGCATGAGAAGAACTATCCAACTCATGACCTTGAGCTTGCAGCAGTGGTGTTTGCACTGAAGATATGGAGACACTACTTGTATGGTGTTCATGTAGATGTGTTCACCGATCATAAGAGCCTTCAGTATGTGTTCACCTAGAAAGAGTTGAATCTTTGCTAGAGAAGATGGCTAGAGTTGCTTAAGGATTATGATATGAGTGTGCATTATCATCCCGGTAAGGTGAATGTAGTAGTAGATTACCTATTGGTAGTGTAGCCCATGTCGAGGAAGAAAGGAAGGAGCTAGTGAAGGATGTTCACAGGCTTGCTCGCTTGAGAGTTTGCCTTATGAGCATATCAGACAGTGGTGTAACAGTTTAGAATGGGGAATAATCGGCTTTAGTAGTGGAGGTTAAGTAAAAGCAAGACAGTGATCTAATCTTGCTTGAACTTAAGGGTGCAGTCCATAATCAGAGAGTGGAGGTTTTCTCCCAAGGGGGAGATTCGCTGCCAGGGTAGATTGTGTGTTCCTGATGTGGGTGAGTTCAGACAGCATATTCTTGCAGAAGCCCATAACTCTAGGTATTCTATTCATCCAAGTGCCACTAAGATGTACCGCGATCTGCGAGAAGTCTACTGGTGGAATGCATGAAGAGGGATATAATAGATTTTTGGAGTAAGTGCCCCAATTACCAGCAAGTCAAGGTAGAACATCGGAAACCAGGAGGTATGACTCAAGAGATCGACATTCCTACTTCTAAGTGGGAAGTGATCAATATGGATTTCATCACAGGGTTACCGTGGTAACCCACAGACAACATGACTCTATTTGGGTGGTAGTTGATCGGATGACTAAATCTTCTTGCTTTTTGGCGGTCAAGACTATAGGTTCAGCGGAGGACTATGCCAAGCTTTACATCAATGAAATTGTGAGGTTGCATGGATTTCCTTTTCTATCATCTCAGATAGAGGTACTCAGTTTACCTCTCATTTGTGGAAGTCATTTCAGAAAGGTCTTGGTACTCAAGTTAACATCAGTACAACATTTCACCCACAATGGGATGGGTAGGCAGAGCGTACCATTCAGACCTTAGAGGATATGTTGAGAGCTTGTGTGAACAATTTCAAAGGTAGTTGGGATTATCACCTTCCTCTTATTGAGTTTGCCTAGAATAATACTTACCATTTCAGTATTCAGATGGCCTCTTATGGGCTTTATATAGGCGTAGATGTAGATCTCCTGTTGGTTGGTTTCAAGTAGGTGAAGCAGCTTTGATAGGGCCATATTCAGTCCCTTATGCTATGGAGAAAGTGCAAGTCATCAAAGACAGACTTAAGACAGCCCAAAGTCGTCAATCTTATGCATATGTAAGGAGAAGGGAACTAGAGTTCCAAGTTGATAATTGGGTTTTTCTGAAAGTCTCACCTAAGAAAGGGGTGATGATATTTAGAAACAAAGAAAAGCTCAGTCCTAGATATTTAGGCCCTTACAAGATCTTGAAAAGGGTTGACAAGGTGGCATATGAGTTAGAGTTGCCAACAGAATTAGCAGCAGTGCATCTGGTCTTCCGCATCTCACTCTTGAAGAAGTGTGTGGGTGATCCAGCCTCTATAGTGCCATTGGAGAGTATGGCGGTGAAAGATAGTCTTTCTTATGAGGATGTACCAGTTGAGATTCTTGACCGTCAGGTTAGAAGGTTGAGAAACAAAGAAGTCGCTTCAGTCAAGGTTTTGTGGAGAATTCAGTCCATGGAGGGAGCTACTTGGGAAGAAGCAGCAGCCATGAAAGCCAAGTATCCTCACCTCTTTCCTTCTGATTCCACTCCAGCTTGAGGTAATAGTCCCTCTTCAGTTTTCTAGTTATTCATGCATAAATTCAGTCTTAGAATCATGTTCCCTCAGTTTGTACTTGCATTTTCAGCGTATTTGCATGTACTCGGAACTCAATTTAGTTAGAAACTCAGTTCTTATTTCTTAATAGTGGGATTTACAGCTCTCACCCTCTATTTGAGCTAGTTTAGTCTTCATGCGAGGATGAATGTTCCCAAGGGGGAGATAATGTAACACCTCGTAGCCAAAATAGACCAAAAATCAGTTTTTTTCAGAAAAATCTGCAGGTACAACCAACGATGGCATCAACGGTCCGCATGACAGACGAAGGTCTGTCCTGCACAACCGTCGATGGGATCAGAAACTCTCAAAAACTCAGCTAGGAAGAAATTGGCTAAGTTTTGATCGACGAAATTTCATGAATTAGTTAGGTATATGTTCCAGATTAGTTTACCATGTTATTACTCAGATTATTGGATGAATTTCAAAACCTTTTAATTCTTAATTATACATGCTAGGTCAGATAGTTCAGACACTTCATATATGCATGCCTCAGTTATAAATGCATAATTACCAGATTAATTGTTGCATTCTCAGTTTGCATGTTAAGTTTTGAGATATTAAGTAATTACAAAAATTCAAACATAATCAGTAAATTTACAAAATTCATTGGGAGTAGCATAATACCGAGTTGGACTAGGGTTTAGCTTACCCTATAGTCCCAAGAACTACTAGCCAAGTAGGTTGTAAGTCCCCTCTGTGGGTAATGAATTTAGTGATCACGCTAGCATGCCTTTATACCTTTGACTGGGTATATTGGGTCCTCTCGACGGGGCGTATACACCGGACTCCACATTTAGCTCATGTGATTTTATTATCGGTTAGTAGTTGCTCCCACAAATAAGTCAGACTCTCTGCATGAACCATTTATCAGTATATTCAGTATCAATTTCAACATGTTATAAATTGGTCACTGCGTCCAGTTATCTCAGAATTCAGTTTATCATGTCAGATTATTATACTTTTTTTATGCTTGTTCAGTTATATTTTATTTCAGCTTTACTCTATCCTACATGCTAGGTACCTTTCAAGTACTAACGCATATGTGTGCTACATCTTCTCGTGATTTGATTCAGGTTCTCAGCATCCAGATCACGCATAGATCGATTTTCGATCTCTAGTTCAGCAGATTAAGTGGTGAGTCCTCATTCTCCGAGGACAACATTCATGAGTGTCATTTCAGTCTTTAGTCATTTAGTTTCAGTTTTTGCTAGATTTAGATGGAGGCTTGTCCCAGTATTTCTAGTCCAGTTTAGAGGCTTATTTCAGACATAGTTAAATTCAGTTTAGTATTGAGTTAATATTTCCTTTGTATTAAACTCATCAGTTTATATATATATTCCCCATCTTTTCATATTTAATTATGATTTAGCTTCCATATCAGTTTATTATCTTTAGTATGTTCATGATCATGCCAACAGGGTTAGCTTGGGATCACTTGTGGTCCTAGGTTCCGTGTCCGCGTTTCGGGGGTAGCTCGGGGTGTGACATGTGAGGAGGATCAAATA